TCCCATCTCCCGCTGTCACTTTGCAAGACTCCACCATTATCAGGGTATTTCTCTGGGGAAATACCAGATTCTCTCTCTGGGGAAAAGCAACTACTGAGCTACTCACCCTTAGTGTATGACCAAGTGCATGTCTGAGGGTCCCTGAGGATCCAGGGAAACATAAAGTATGAGGTACTGATGGGCAAGGTTTGGAAAGGTTATCCCTGGTGTCCTATCTTGGCCATTAGGATGTGCAGTCCAGGGGGCCCAGGTACCTGGCCAACTTTGTGCTGTTACCTTCTTCTTGAAGCCCATTTTAGGACCTAATTTTCAAAGTCAGTGGGAATTCGGAAACAATACCTAGTTCAGTGATGGCGAACCTATGACACGCGTGTCAGAGGTGACACACGAACTCATTTTTTTGGTTGATTTTTCTTTGTTAAATGGCATTTAAATATATAAAATAAATATCAAAAATATAAGTCTTTGTTTTACTATGGTTGCAAATATCAAAAAATTTCTCTATGTGACACGGCACCAGAGTTAAGTTAGGGTTTTTCAAAATGCTGACACGCCAAGCTCAAAAGGTTCGCCATCACTGCCCTAGTTGCTTGATGCTCTGTGCCAAGGTCCTGCACAAAGAGAGGACAGAGTGGCTCGCATCACTCATTTGTGCCCCTTTTGCAATCGTATTCTTGAATTGGTGACACCCCTTCCCCCACATTAGGAGAAGGAAATACATTATGACAAATTTGCAACCGCACTGTAATTCAGATAGAGTGTAGATTTCTAGGGTGGAGTTAATCATAACTCCCTGGATGGCAGCTCCCCTCTGTCGCTGACTTGAGAGCCCAGCTGGTCCTCACTGTCCAGCTCCAGCAGACCTCAAGCGCAGCTTGGGCTAGCCCGCCCTCCCTCAGCTGTGTGGTGACCGACTGTTCTGCAACCTGCCTTCCGTGCCCAGTTCCTGTGCTGCGAGCGGTCAGTGATCAGGAGAGCCAGGACGGCCTGTACCAGAAGTGGCAGATGCTGCTGGCCTATGTGCTGCACGTCCTCCCCTTCAGCGTCATTGCCACCGTGATCTTCAGCAGCGTGAGCTACTGGTAAGGGGTGTGCGCCGACCTCCTGTGGGTCCAGCCAGCCAGTGGGACCCGGAGAGGGGGAGCTCCAGGGTAGAGAACCCTGAGTTTCTTTGTAGTTTCCCATCGGCACTGCTGTTTAGTAGGAATATTAACGTGCTTGATGACCGGTGGAGTCCCAGATCCCACTGCAGCAAGTGTGGACTATACAGTGTAAAACCTTCCTGAAATTTGTAAATTGCCACATACCACAACATATCTGGCCCTGAAGTGTTTCAAATAATGGGGTATGGACATAAGCAAATCTTCAAATAAGTTTAATTCAAGAAAGTTTAAGATTAGTTTTACAAGGAAGTTCGACCACGAGACCAGGAGTTATATCGCTAGCTATGATGTGCGCTGACCACCAGGGGGCGGCGCAGAACGAAGGAAGGCCCTGGCTGGCGGCTGGCAGCCAGGAAAGGGAGGCCCCAGCCGGCAGCCAGAAGGCCCTGATTGGCCCTGGTTGCCAGCCAGGCCTAGGGACCCTACTCATGCATGAATTTCATGCACCGGGCCTCTAGTATAATAATAATAATAATAATAATAGTAATAGCTAACATATCGAGCACTTGCTTTATGACAGGCACTGAGAGCTTTAAATATATTATTTCATGTAATCCTTGCAACCATTCTATAAAGGTGATATAATTATCCTTGTTTGTAGGCAAGGAAACTGAGGCACAGTGGCCTTCCCCATCTCACTTCCATCATCCCAAGTTAATTACAGATGAGACCAAGAATCTACTTGGTTGGGTGGGGGGAGGGGCTCTTGGAGGTTTTATGGAGGAGAATTTGAGAGACAGCAGCATTTCAACAGATGGAATCAGGAACAAGGGCCTAACAGGGGAAGGAGTAGCAGGGGCGTAGGTTCAGAAGCAAAAACACAGAGAAATTTCAGTTGCACTGTGGGGAATGAAGGGTTGGGAGAAGTCTTGGAAAATCTGACTGCTGGCCATACAGCCCAGTAGGGGAGGTGCTGAATGCCAGGCTGAGGGGCTGCAGTGGATTTGATAATGGGACGTGGGAGAGGTTGGGTGAGCCCCAGCATTAGGGTAGGCGGCTAGCTTGGGTAGGAGGGGTGCTAGCAAGGCAGAACGTGGTTATTTGTGGAGAAGCCAGGAGAGTCCAGTACCCCTACTCATTGTAGTTGGCTGTGACTCTTCCTCTGAGAGCTGAAGGAGCCGTGAAAGGGAAAAGGTAGCTGTCATTGAGCTGGAGCCAACAGAGACAACTGGCAATAAATGGTCTCAATGTTGGCTCTGTTCCCAAAAGGCCTTTCAAAGGGGAGTTTTATTTGCCCTGCAAACTCTTCTCTACCACTAACCACCAAGAACTCGTTTATAGAAGGCAAGCATGGTATTTTTCTTAAATGATAACGCTTGGAGAGAAACTAAAAACCTTGTGTGTTTTTAGGACTCTGGGCTTGTACCCCGAGGTTGCCAGATTTGGATATTTCTCTGCTGCTCTCCTGGCCCCCCACTTAATTGGGGAATTTCTAACTCTCGTGCTACTTGGAATGGTCCAAAACCCAAATGTGGTCAACAGTATAGTGGCTCTGCTCTGCATTGCTGGGGTGCTGGTGGGTTCCGGATTCGTAAGGTAAGCTACCACAAGTCAAAAGAATTAGATTGTATGACTTGTTAATGATCACCTGATAGTGATTATTATTAAGAAATTCCAGAGAAGAGCTATGTGACACTAGTTAAAGATAACACCTTATAGACTGGGGTATGTATAGTGCTTGCTAACCATTATTGTGTAGACTTTAAACTGTTCAGTATTTGTTCAATAAGATGTCTTCACACAGAGAATCAGGAACTGACAATTTAGGCACGTTATCAATATGATTCACATGTAATAAACTATTATAACAGGAAGAAAAACAATCCAGAAAAACCCACAGCCTATGTTACAAGCTAAATAGCGCACATTTAGTTCATTTCTGCTTCTGCATTGGTGAGTCTCTATTCCAGTGCTCAGCCCTCACTTTCTTTTAGGAAGTAAGAAGAGGCAGGTAAGAAAAGAGCCTATGGGATCACAGACTGCAAGAAAGCATCAGAACTAGGACACACAACAAAAGTTAACAGTAATTAGCTCTGGGTGACATATTTTTATATGTCATTCTTTCACAAAATATAGGAAAGGATTCCTATATTTTGTGAATTTTCCATACCAGACAGGCATCATTTTATAACCAAGAAAAAAATAAATATAAATATAAATAAAAAAGAAAGAAAAGTAGCATAAAATAAGGGTTGCCTGTCTTTCATTTGGTCAGACTATTCCCAGAGCCTACTGAATTTCATCTCTCTCTCTTTTTTTCTTAAGGAACATAGAAGAAATGCCCATTCCTTTTAAAATCTTCACTTATTTTACATTCCAAAAATACTGCTCTGAGATTCTTGTAGTCAATGAATTCTATGGACGGAATTTCACTTGTGGTAAGTATTTTATTTTGGAATATTATTTATACATGTCACTCTGAGGAAGCAATTTCTGGAGGGAAATGCACTTTTAAAATAAAAGATATGTTTTGTAATAATAGACTTAAAACTTTGTTTTGAAATAAAAGCTTAGTAACATTTTCTTTGGTTTTTAAAAAGAAATAAGCAGTGGTCAAGTTAGACACCTGTCAAAGGTCAATAGTTTAAGCTTGGGTAACTCAGTTGGTTAGAGCATTGTCCCGATAAACCAAGGTTTTGGGTTTGATCCTTCATCAGGGTACACATAAGAATCAACCAAAGAATGAATGAATAAGTTCAACAAATTGATGTTCTCTCTCTCTCTCTCTCTCTCTCTCTCTCTCTCTCTCTCTGATAGATAGATGATAGATAATGACAGACCTGATGCACTGAAGTAAACTCTAGCATATTCTGATGGAATCAGTTTCTACCAGCTGGTTGAAGCTGGGTGCAGTGGCTTCTTATTCCCCAAATGTCCATAGTATAGAGCCGAGTAAAGCCATTTTTGGCAAAAGGCCATCCCCCACCCCATGAGAGGGCAGTGGGAGCCTAACAAGGTCCCCCTGGCCATTGGAAATCCAGGCCATTCTCTGAAGGCAACTAAAGAACAGGGCAGAATGTCATAGTTGTTTTAAATATCTTTAGGTGAGAACAGCAGAAATCTTTGGATATTCAGTGCTAAGTGATCCTAAGTGATTATGATTTTTACCAGTGCTATGGCAATGAATATATACCCCAAACGGAAACAAATCAATTTCCAACTTCAAATGGAGCCAAGGCCCAGAACACTCATTATTGCTTCATCTAATAATGATTCCAGGGCTGTGTCAAATGTCTGTGTGTCTCATGAAGAAGGGTACTTAGCAGGGTGCTAAGCACTTAGTGGGCATTTGGTAAATACTTGCTTACGAAATTACTTTTTTTTAAAAAATATTTCTTTATTGATTTCAGGGAGGAAGGGAGAAGGATAGATAGATAGAAACATCACTGATGAGAGAGAATCACTGATCGGCTGCTTCCTGCACACCCCCTACTGGGGATTGAGCCTGCAACCCAGGCATGTGCCGTTGGCCGGAATCGAACCTGGGAGCCTTCAGTCTGCAGGCTGATGCTCTATCCACTGAGCCAAGCCGGCTAGGGCACGAAATTACTTCTTAATCACCAAGTATTTACCAAATGCCCATATCTCACAATGTCGATCTTTTCCCTGGCAGGCAGCTCAAATGGTTCTGTGACAGCTAATCCAATGTGTGCCTTCAATCAAGGACTCCAATTCATTGAGAGAATCAGCCCGGGTGCAACATCCCGATTCACAGCAGACTTCCTGATCCTGTATGCGTTTATTCCAGCTCTTGTCCTCCTAGGAACAGTTGTGTTTAAAGTGCGGGATCATCTCATTAGCAGATAGTAAAGCACGTTGCTGTGAGAATGGAACTGAAGCTCCTAGAGGTGCCTGGCTGTATTGAATGTCTGAAATAAGAATGCCTCCTGTTTCTGTCTTGACAGTACATCTGAAGTCTTTTAAACCATTAAGACTCCTTTTGTGCTCTTGGATCCATGAGGGCTTGAATGCTATTCCAAGTTGTAGGGACATGTGGTATTTAGAAATTGTGACTAAGCCAGTCCAAAATGTAGATAATAATACTTCATAAAGTTATGGAGACTGTACTATTTGTTTTCTTTGCTTTAGAGAGAAAAACAGGTCGGTTAAAAAATTATGCTTACGTTTGCTAAAGGATTCAGTAAAAAGAATCCTGAATAGTTAGCAGAAAAGGGAGTGGTTAAAGCAAAGCATCATGCAGAATTGGGTAAGAATGTTTTCATTGTTATTTAAAAACTCATAGTTATGTGTACATGTCCACGTGAGGGTTCTGAGTTACCTGATGACATCGAGAGGATGGTGGACAGATGCTGGATGAAGACCACTGGTCCAGAGCACTCAGTGATTTTATGGAGGGTTACAATGAGAAACTGCAGGAATGGCTGAACTGAGAACACAGCACATCAGGCACACCTCTTGTAATGTTTTTAAAGATTAGCTGGCTATTTTCACTTCCGCTTAGTTTACTTATACAATTAAAAGTAAATATTATTAGATAAAGTGTTTGCACTGAGAAATGACATCTTCAAGGTTGGGGAGCAGCTATTATTGAAAGTCCATGTAGACAAGATGCTCAACGGACACAACATTTACACTCAGAAGAATAGGGTTACACACTGGGAGTTCATGAGCTGTAAAGAGAAAGAATGCTGATGAATACAAACACCTATATTATATATTTTTAGGGATCGAATGTTGTACATAGTTTGTATATAAATGGTATATACGAAATGACTATCTTTCTGATTGATCTTCAAGAAATTCATGTATAAGTCTGAAATAAAACTGTCTCAATGTTACCATGGTAACTCTGAGTGAGAATATCTTAGAAAGCACAAGAACTTGTTCAGTTACTATGACCCAACTTGTAAAGAATGATAAATTATAGCATTTGAAATGTCTCACATTATTGTAGGAAAGATCATTTCATTAAGGAAACCACAGTAAAATTCTATTTCTTAGAACAGTATTTAAGGATCTGGAGACATTGGTGAATTACCAGAATCGTACTGTCAATTTTTATAAAAGGTCTTTGACACTGATGATTATGGTGTAATAGTTACATAATGCCTCACAGATTATATATGTCACATCAATTATAGACAATTCTGGAGATGATAATCTATTAAAGTAGTTCAAAGAGAGTTCCACAGGAACCTCTTTAGAAATCACTGATTTCAACTTACTAAAGATATGGGTGCACAATGTAAGTGGAAACATTTTCTATTCATATGCAGATGAATTTCATTCTAGCTCAGAAACACTGGGAAAATTGACATAGCACGTGACTTCAAGCTATTAAATGTTAGCGATACCATCTCTGAGAAGCATAGTGACTTTCACGATGTGACAGTTTGTGTCTTAAGTCAAAAATGGACATGATGTATAAGAAAATCAAATTATATAATAAAAGCTCCTATTACTATTGTGGAATGAGCTGTTTCTTCTCACCAAGTCAGTGGTGTTTCTGAGAGCATCACGTTCACTGTTAATTTAAAGGGAGTCCTTTCTCCACAGCACCCAGGCCCAGCACCTGTCAGCTCCTTCAGCTGAGGTTCCTTGGAGCCATGCTGCAAACCTGCTCCCCACAGTGCTGGAGCCTTGCGTACTGCAGCTAGTTTAGGACGTCTTATTTCATGACAGTAATCAGGCAGCTTGCTGTGCACTCAGATGCTGCTCCTCAGCCTTGGTGTTCTTGTGGTTAGTAGGGGTGCTTATTTGAAGCTGGGTGCATGGCATGGTAGGGTCAACATATTTTACAGTGGAAATGGAAGAACACAAAGTAAAAGAACTTTCCTGATTGGTAACAGCAATTATACTTACTCTAAATTGAACGTGGGTAGCAGGTACATGAACCTATAAGATTGAGGCTTCTTATAAGCTATCCTACCTTGGAAATAATCTTGGTTATTACCAAGTCATCAAGTTTTGGTCTGTTTATTGACAACATCTCCTTAAAACTGCCTGTTCTTCAAAAAGTTATACTTAACATATGTCAGAATCACTGGAGGTGCTGATAAAAAATGCAGTTTCCCGAGCCCCGTTCCAGACTCACTGACTCTGTATTTCTGGGTGTGGGGCTCAGGAATGTGCATTTTAAATAAGTACTACGGGTGCTTTTTGTGCCTCACCATTAGAGTAACATTAGGTGCTTGTGAAAGTGAACCCAATTCCCGTTTCCTACCAGCCACAGCTGAGAACTCCTTAGAGGAGGAATGTGTCTAATATGAGCACTTAAGCTTATTCATAACTGTTACTACATGCTCTTGCTTTCATATTCCTGAAAACACGTAAGCACAAACTTATCAATGCTGAACCAAGGATATGTTTACTTAACCATGGTAGAGGTAGGTAATAGAAGATTCTTTTTACTTAAAAAAATACTACACATAGTTAATACAATTTTTTCCCCTTTTCAAAGATAAATATCCTGGGGTGGCACTAATACAAGAAATGCACTTTTCCTTTAGCAAATTATACATCTTCCTTTTTTAAAAAATTGTTTAAAGTATTACATGTCTTAACTTTCTTCATTTATTACCACAACAGCTAGTTTATTAATGAGCTATTATTAATATTACTAGAGACCCAGTACACATGCATGGGTAGGGTCCTTTGGCCTGGCCAGCAATCAGGCGATCGGGGCCATCTCACCCAGTCCCGATCAGGGCCAATGGGAGCTGGCTGGCCAGGGAGGGACCACAGGAGGGATCCAGGGCATGTCTGGCCCTCTTGCTCAGTCACCATCGGCTGGACCCCAGTAGCAAGCTAACCTACAGGTTGGAGCGTCTGCCCTCCGGTGGTCAGTGTGCTTCATAGCAACTGGTCAAGCGGTCGACCAATTAGTTGGACACTTAGCATATTATACTCTTATTATATAGGATTTATTAATAACACAAGAATGAATTCATTAATGACCTAATATCAATAAAATAATCTTACTTGTACCAGTATTTGGGAAATAAATACACTGTAGCTGAGTTAGGTTCAAGAATCCAGCTCAATTTGTTTCCAAGACTTGGAAGAACTTTTTTTGTACTGTTCCAGTTCCTAAAACAAAAATATACATTATAGTACTTTAACAAATCAACTTTAACAATTAAACTAGGCATCTTAAAACTCCCTTAGCAGTTTTTGATATAACAATGTATCCTTTACAGCTTTATTATTCTCAAAATTTCTTGACAATTATTTTGTAAATGATTATACTTAGTATTTATTTACTAGAATGTAGCCTTTGGAGTTTCTGGGTAGCGTAAGCAGCACTTAGAGATGAATTTAATAAAGTTTCAGACAAAATTATATTCTATATAGTATATAAGTTCATTCAATTAATAAAATAAAGTATTTGTCATATATTAAGTATTGAAAAGTGACCTTATTTTTAATTGTTCACTATTCAACTCTTGTTAAAACCTGCTTGAGCCGAAACCGGTTTGGCTCAGTGGATAGAGCGTCAGCCTGCGGACTGAAGGGTCCCGGGTTCGATTCCAGTCAAGGGCATGTACCTGGGTTGCGGGCACATCCCCAGTAAGAGATGTGCAGGAGGCAGCTGGTCGATGTTTCTCTCTCATCGATGTTTCATACTCTCTATCTCTCTCCCTTCCTCTCTGTAAAAAATTAATAAAATATATTTTTTTAAAAAAAACCTGCTTGAAGTTAGCTAAGTATCAATATTTAAAATGTATAGATCTTTTAAAAAATATATATATATTATTGATTTTTTACAGAGAGGAAGGGAGAGGGATAGAGAGTTAGAATCATCAATGAGAGAGAAGCATCGATCAGCTGCCTCTTGCACACTCCCTACTGCGGATGTGCCCGCAACCAAGGTGCATGCCCTTGACCGGAATCGAACCTGGGACCCTTCAGTCCGCAGGCCGACGCTCTATCCACTGAGCCAAACCGGTCAGGGCAACATATAGATCTTTTAACCCACAATTCTGCCTTAAGAAATTTATCCTATAGGATAGTATAGAAGAGCACAAGGGTATAAGCAGAAAGATATTCACTGCACTGTGTATATTGACACACAACTGGAAACAGATTAGAGGAAACCTTTGGAGCAGCAGTCACCAACTGGTGATCCACGGACCACTGGTGGTCCTATGAGGTCCAAAAGGTTGGTGACTGCTGGTTAAGATGATCTCCCAGTAAAGGCTGATTACACACACCAGCACTCACTCACACGTGGCTTTACAGCCAGCCAGCAAAAAGGATGGCAGTCACATGTGAAAACAGCAAGTAGATGGAGAGAGAGCAGAACACTTCCATTTTCCATTATATATACTTGTAAATCTTTGGATTTTTTTTCATAATGAGTATATGTTACTCTTTTTAAAATTGCATTTTTCAATTATAGTTTACATTCAATATTATTTTGTTTTCATTTCAGGTATACAGTGTAGTAGTTAGATAATCACATCCTATATGAAGTGATTCCCCCAATATTTCCAATACCACCTGGCACTATACATAGTTATTACAATACTAGAGGCCTGGTGCACGATTCATGCACCCTGCAGGATCAGGCCAAAACTGGCTCTCTGACATCCCCCGAGGGGTCCCAGATTGCGAGAGGGCATAGGCCAGGCCGAGGGACACCAGTGGTGCACGATCAGGGCCAGGGAGGGATGCGGGAGGTTGACCAACTAGGGAAGGACCGTGGGAGGGCTCCAGGGCGTGCCCAGCCTGTCTCGCTCAGTCCCCCATCGGCTGGACCCTAGCAGTAAACTAATCTACCAGTCGGAGCGTCTGCCCCCTGGTGGTCAGGCACGTCATAGTAAGTGGTTGAGTGGCCTTAGCATATCATTAGCATATTATGCTTTGATTGGTTGAACGGATGACCAGATGACCAGACAGTATATTAGGCTTTTATTATATAAGATTATTGACTAAATTCCATTTGCTGTACTTTACAACTTGAGACTATTTTGTAACTATTACAATTCACAAAATAAAGATAAATTTAGTGAGAGTGGAAATCCTGAGTGAGACCATCAACATGCAAAAGGGACCATCTCCAGGAATGCCTTCTCCTAGCCTCTTGCCTGTTGCTCAATGTCTAACTGTACAGAGTAAAATATTATTTCAGATAAGCAAAAAGTGGTTACTCTGCAAGATAAGGCAATCACTGCCCTTTGACTAACATAATTAAAGTTCATAGTTGCTGTAAATGGAAAAATCCTATTCTCATTTTCAGAAAAATTACAGACTACCTCATTCATAGCTATAGTCTAAGTCATTAAAATTTAAATGTTCCAAGTTTCAAAACTATATAAGACTTTGGAAGAAGTTTTATACTAATAACTCCAAAGTAGTCTTTACAGCATGCTTTATTTTTTCTAATGAAGTTAATTCAGTTCACCAGTTATCTACCACTTATGGTTTCAAAGATTGTTAACTCATAAAATAAGCCACAACAATTACTGGGCATCGCTTTGGGATTCTTTCTAGTAGTATGTCCCTTCTGCAGTCAGCAAACTTAGAAGAATGGGCTGGTCATACAGGCCACGCCAGAGGGAAGATAAAGAATAACTAACTAGTATGACACGGAATGCACCATGTCCACTGGGCCCTTCAGTACTGCTATCATGTGAGCTCAAAATAATGTGATAATAGTTTAAAGGAATAGCCAAGTAAGAGGGTTTTCTTTACACTGCAATTCTTTTTAAAAAATATTTTAAAATTGATTTTTAGAGAGGAAGGGAGAAAGAAAGAGAGAAACATTGATGTGAGAGAGAAACATCCCGCACACCCCTCACTGGGTATCAAACGTACAAACAAGGCATGTGCCCTGACTGGGAATGGAACCGGCACCCTTTTGGTTCACGGGACCATGTCCAACCAACCAAGCTATACCAGCCAGGGCTAGTCCCTGCTTCCAAAAATCGACTTGCTTATAATCAGTAGGCCTATATTTTAAACACACACCCACACTGATACATGTTTAGGGAGAATACAGAATTTAGTGAGGTATCGGTGTGGTACAAGAGTTGAGTGAACACTGACATAGGTATTGTAGGACTGCTTTCCAGTTCCACTAAAAATTCTTATGGTTTTAGGTCAGTTAGAGAGATGGATTTGACTGTGAAAACTCATGATACTCAGAAATACCCTAGCCCTTTAACAATACTTATGTAATAAAAGGTCATTATGCACGATAAACAAATACTCTTATCAACAATGGCAGTTAGTCATTGACTTCTAGGTAAATATTAATTCAGGGATGACTTCCAACTAATCTCTATAGCCAAGATATACACATAATAGGAGTTACTCAAGGTCATTTTACTTTTCTTACAACATGCCCCTCACTTTTTGAAATTGAGGTATAACTGACATACAACATTATATAAATTTTAGGTGTCCAACATAATGATTCAATATTTGTATATATTGTGAGGTGATCACCACTATAAGTCAACATTTGTCAACAAATAGTTATAGAATTTTTTTCTTGTGATGAGAACTTTTAAGATCAACTCTCTTAGCAACTTTCCAATATGCAACACAATATTATTAACTATACTCGCAAGCTGTATGTTGCCATGATTTATTTTATAACTGGAAGTTTGTTCTTTTTTACTCCCTTCACTCCTTTGGTCTATCACCTACCCCTCCTCTGGCAACCACCAGTCTGTTCTCTGTTATCTACAAGCTCGGTTTTTTGTTGCTGTTGTTTAGATTCCACATATAAGTCAGATCATATGGTAGTTGTCTTTCTCTGTCTGACATATACCCTCAAGATACATCCATGTTGTCACAAATGGCAATATTTCCTTCTTTTTTATGGCTGAGTAATATTCCTCTGTGTGTGTGTGTGTGTGTGTGTGTGTGTGTGTGTGTGTCTTTATCCATTCATCTGTCAATGAGTACTTAAGTTGTTTCCATGTCTTGGTTATTGTATAGTGCTGCAGTGAACATGGGGGGTACATATATCTTTTTGAATTAGTGTCACAATGTCAAGGAGCTTACTGTCTATGTTGTTTCTAGGAGTTTTATAGTTCCAGGTCTTATAGTCAAGGCTTTAGTCTATTTTAAGTTGATTTTTCTGTATGGTGTAAGATAGTGATCCAGTTTCATTCCTTTGCATGTGGCTATCCAATTTTCCCAAGATTATTTATTGAAGAGATTGTCTTTTCTCCCATTGTATATTCTTGGCTCCTCTGTCATAAATTAATTTACATATATACATGGGTTTATTTGTTCCATCGATCTATGTGCCTGTCTTTATGTCAATACCATACTGTTTTCATTATTAAATCTTCCTAATATAGTTAAAATCAGGAAGCATGGTGACTCCAGCTGTGTTCTTTTTCAAGATTGCTTTAGCTATTCTGGGTCTTTGTAGTTCCATATAAATTTTAGTACTGTTTGGTCTATTTCTGAATATGCCATTGGAATTTTGATAGGGATTGTAACATGCCTCTTACTTTGCTACAGCTACAATCCCTCTAAATATTCATGTCATACTTTCAAAAGTCTTCGGGACTATATCTAAGTTCAATGTATTGCTTAATGCTGAGAAGAATACCCAGTGGATGGTTGTGTTCAGGTTATCCTTGAGACAATGCCTAAGTTACACAGCTCTACAAATCCCCCCCGAGAGGTTGTCAGGACATTCAATTTATAGTGTTTACTATACATAAGCTTACTTATTATACAAGGTCAGATTCCACACACTGTCTCATTTTATCAAACTAAACGGTGATCTGGGAAAATATAAGTATAGGGCCATGATAAGTTTACCCAGTTTTGCATCCTCACATCAGATTTGTATACAATAAACAGTGCTATCTTGGCACATGTGGAATGCTTGAACCACGTTCCTGAGAGATCATGGATTTTGTCAGTTATGTTTGTGTGCTTTCAGATTAGGCAGTAGTTAATTATTCTGGTACAAGAAAGTATAGGTATGCCTGAATGTCCTAATAAAAAACAAGCTCTTTTAAATAATCTCACAAACAAAAGAATATTATAAAAGCATTTCCCAGCAGCAAAGTAAGAATCACTAGCCACCATAAACTGAAAAATCCAAAAAGGATATGTAAACAAGGTTATCTCTGGGTGGTAGAGTGATAGGTGATTTTTAATTCCTTCTTGATTCATATCAGACTTTTAACTTTTCTATAGTGAAGATGTACTATTACATAATTATAAAGTAAAAAAACCATTAAGTAAGTAAATTGAGAAAAATGTATAGAAGTCTACAGGTATTTTTGTGATAATTCAAAGTGAAATAAATGTTTCGGGTAATACCTGATCCTTCTGAATTCTCATTTCATCAACTTCACTTTCAGCATACTGGGGGTCTTTTGCAGGGTCCTTGATATCTTTTAGTGTGTCGATACTCTGAAATTACAATATTTCAAATCATTTCATGCCCATAACCCCACACCATCTGACTCACAATCCACGTCCTTTCCTCAGCCAGCCATGTAGGCTATGATCTTTTATCATCACCACTGAGGGCCATGTCAAATTCCACCAGGTCCTTTTTCCTTCTTCTCCTTTCAGATGATTGTGTCTCCCTTGTCTAATAGCCAGAGAGCTGTTTCAAAGTGGAGCAAGAACTGTGTCATAACCCACCTTTTAACCCCACAGTGTCTCACATACAATGGATTTTAAGTGACTGTTTAATTTCTGAGCATGAGAGTTGAAAACAAAGTTGTCATAATAAACCCATTGGACATTTCCCAGTAACCATTAAATAGTGGTAAGAATTCCTGCTTTAAAAGAACCAGAAATAGGTACCTTTGGTGGAAAGAGCTTTTCATACACTTTTTTCCACAACTCCATTGGCGAACGGGCATGAAACTTCCCAATGTCATTATCAGGAACAGGAGGAGACCCTGAAATTGGAAGGTTTGCTCCAATGACTGCATTGATTAAAACATTCAAACTCTATCAGTAACTGATGACACTAAAAACAGTATAAATCTTAGATCACTTGTGTCCATCTTCCTATTACAGTCACAATTAAAATTTACCCCAACCCAGTGTAGCAAGCCAGGTTCCAGTTCTAGAAGAAGAGGAGACAATAATAAGTAAACTGTAATTCTCTTTCCCTACACTTCAATTGCTGCTCAGCAAAAATATAAGATTGATATTCTCACGTGCATGTGAATTTGCAAGAAAACAAATACTCTTATGTGTTGCTGGTTAGAGAGAAATTGGAACAGCTCATTTGGAGGGTAATTTGGCGCTGCTAAATACCATTAAAGTACTAAAAAAGGTCATGCCCTATTAATAAGCAATTCTAGTTTTTGGTGTTTACCCTAAAACATCTGCATACATGTATTAAAGATTTCACACTACAGCATCATTTATATTAGTGGAAAACTGGCCACTACCAAAATGTCCATCCATAGAAGAAGCATAAACTAAATTACTGTGTAATACTATCCAGCAGTCAAAATACCAAACAAATCTATATATAGCATAATACTGAAAAACCATTAAGGCATATTGAGTGAAAGAGACACATTTCAAAATGATATAGAATAATACCATTAAATTAAAACATTTTTATACCACATACACATATATAGAAAGTGGTCTGGAAAGATACAGACCAAACTTGATCCTTTTATGTTATATTTTAATGTTTTATAAGGAGAAGGCCTTTATGTATTGCTTGCATAATTTAATTTGGAAATTTAAAAAAATTTTGGGACACTTTTTCATACTTTTCAATCTATAACCTGAGATTTTTTCATTATGTTTCAGCATCTATGTTGTTCACTAAAATTGTAATCACACTCACCTCCTTCCCAACCTCTCTCCTCCTACCTCTTCACCCATAGTCTTGTCCCTAACCTCTGATATTTATTAATCTTTCCTCCATTTGTAATTCTCTCATTCTAAAAATTTTATATAAATAGAGTTGTAGTGTATGTAGCCTTTTCTGATTGTCTCTTATCATTCAGTATAACTCCATGGGGATACATCCAAATTCTGTGTATCAATAGTTTGTTCCTTTTTATTGCTGAGTAGTATTCTATGGTATAAATGTACCACAGTTTGCTTATTCACTCACCTGTTGAATGACATTTGGGTAGTTTCTAATTTTTGGCTATTATCAATAAAGCTGCTATGAACATTCTTGTACAGATTTTATGTGAATGCAAGTTTTCATTTCTCTAGGATAAATGCCTAGTAGTGCAATTTCTAGGTCAAATGGTAGCTGCATGCTTAGTTTTATAAGAAGCTGTCAAACTGTTTTCAAGACTGGCTGTACCATTTTACATCACCACCAGCAATGTGTAAGTAATCCAGTTTCTTAACATCCTTGTCAGCATTTGGTGTTGTCACTATTTTTTATTTTAGAGATTCTGATAGTGTGAAGTGATATCTCATTGTGGTTTCAATTCGAATTTCCGTAGTAATTAATTATATTAAACTCTATTTGCCATTCATATATCCTCTCTAGTGAAATGTCTGCTCATGACTTTTACCTATCTTCTAATTGGATTGTTTGTTTTTACTGTTAAGTTCTTTATATATTCTAGATACTAGTCATTTGTTGGTACGTGGTTTGAAAATGTTTTCTCCCAGACTATAACATGCCTTTTCATTCTTTTTAAACGAGCAAAAGTTTTTAATTTTGATGAGGTCCAAGCTACATGATTTTTAAATTCAGTAGTTCTCAACCTTTTTCTGACTTCCAATTACTCACATGGGCAAAAGATTCCCATCCGCATTATCTATCAGTACACAAAGTGATTTTTACTGTGACTGAAATTAACTTGAAACTAATGATAATTATACAAATAAAAGAATCATTCTCTATAATCACTCATTAACCATCTCTATTCCTTTCATTGCAATTCAATCTATAATCTCATTACAAAGATATCTACATTTAAAGTCAAGTTAACTTTAGCTTGTAAGAGTAATGGAGAATAGGAAATAAAGTACTGCTCACTAGAGTTTAAAACCAAACTATGACAGTCCTAGAGTATAAAGAGCTGTTTGGCCCAAACATCTTTTATTACAAGAAGATAAGTAGCTTGACTTCATAAACTTGTAAAATTACTTTTGCTTCATGAGCCTAGGGCATCTATAAGTTTAGGAACCACATCCCAGTAGATGAGGCCAGCTATTTTCATAATGAAAAATTAAGGGATACTTAATTAATACTGTATTCCTTTTTATTTATTCTATCCCTTGAATCTCTAATTTTCACCACTGCCCATAATATATAGTTTTGAATTTCCTGACCACTCTATGTTCTTGTTTTTTCTAAATCCAAGGAGTTACAATTTAAAATCACCTAGCAATCAGTAAGGGAAAGGAAATAGATGCAAACTTTTTAGTGGAATAGAGATCAGAAGCTGGTATCTCATGTGGCAACATCTCTTTCATCACAAATATGTCAATGTGATGTACTGCAGCAATACTGTGTATACAAGTAAATAATAAGAAATTACAGCAATGATAATGAAACCAGAAAAGCTGGTACGTTGGAGATGAAGGGAACATAAAGTAGGATAAAATCAATAAGCAATTAAAAAAAAGATTGAACAAATTTAATAAGTTCACCAACCTATATTACTTAAAGAATCCAATCCTGCTGTGATAAACAGTGGTTTATTCTGATCCACACATATTGATTTGCTACATGGATAAGAAGAAAAAAGAATCTAATTTAGTTTAGCAATCGAATATCCTACCACACTCTACTGTAAATACAAGAAGCAAGTTTTATATCTAGCCACTGGTGAAAGCACTGCCCAAATAAGTGAGTGAATATTTGTGTAAGTGATTTAAAGTAGAGCATTAATGAAGGTTTTACAGGAGAAAAAAAGTGACAGACACAAATTACCTTAAATCAAAACCAAGAAAAGTAGCATGGTTAAGAAAATTATGTACAAATATTGTTTATTTCATTTATAATCAATTCAGAAAGTGATAACAGAAGGAATGCCACTAAAATGAGGGAAAAGAAGTAAAAGAAATCAGGGAAGGAAGTATAATAATATCATTTTATTCTAGTGTCAAACTAAGTATTCTCTAACATTTTAATTGTGAATCTGAGAAATATTTAAAGAATAGAAGAAGCAAAAGGTAATATAAAATTATCTTTTTAAGAACAGATATCTGGGGCACTTTCTGGGTCAAGAAACAAAAGACTGGTGAGAACAACAGATGAAACAATATTGGCCACAAATAATAAAATAGAAAGATATAAGAAAACGTATTTTAACAGTACCTTTTGCCAATACCAAATGCTAACTGATTGATAACTCCACGTATTTTTAGTAATAGAGCTTCTGATTTACTTGTAAACTAAAAAAAAAAAAATCAGGAGAATAAATTTTATACTCTGCTTTCAAATCACAGAAACAGGTAACATAAATATGGCTTTGAACAAGTACAGATTGCAGAGCGAATTACTATTTATTTGCCCTAGATGTATGATCTTGGACAAGTCATTTAATCTCACTTAAGCCTCAGTCTCCTCCATGGTAAAATGGACAAAAACAGTACCTTCTTCATAGGGTTGGGAGGATTAAAAGAGGGAATAATGTGAAATGCTTAGCACAGGGCCTGAAACAAAGTATTGCTCAAGAAATATTGGTTATTATAATTATTATTATCATTATTTGATATCCTTCAGTGCAATAAAATATTAAAGCATTTTTTATTTTAAAAGATACTTCCTACCCTTATCCCCCATTCATATGATCTCTTTTTTTTATTATATATTTTATTGATTTTTTACAGAGAGGAAGGGAGAGGGATAGAGAGTTAGAAACATCGATGACAGAGAAACATCGATCAGCTGCCTCCTGCACATGTCCCAGGGGGATGTGCCCGCAACCAAGGTACATGCCCTTGACTGGAATCGAACCCGGGACCCTTCAGTCCACAGGCTGACGCTCTATCCACTGAGCCAAACCGGTGCTGGCTCTTTTTTCTTCTTAATCAAAGCTCTCAGAGGGACCTGGAGACAACATGGTCTAGCCCTTTTCTTTTAAGAGAATATAGATTTTAATTTTTTTTTAATATATTTTATTGATTTTTTACAGAGAGGAAGGGAGAGAGATAGAGAGTTAGAAACATCGATGAGAGAGAAACATCGATCAGCTGCCTCCTGCACATCTCCCACTGGGGATGTGCCCGCAACCCAAGTACATGCCCTTGACCGGAATCGAACCTGGAACCTTTCAGTTCGCAGGCCGACGCTCTATCCACTGAGCCAAACCGGTTTCGGCTAGGTTTTAATTCTTAAGGGGAATGAATGAATGAATAAATAAATAAATAAGTAAATTGTCTCTTTAAGATTGGGGTTTATAGATATAAGCAATTCAGATCTTTTGCACCAAAGAAATGTCAGGCCATCTAGAAGTATGTTCTATGGCTACATTATAAAACGAACGTTTTGGGGCAATGGGAAAGGAAAGGAGGGAATGATGTGCATTAGTAAAAGCATTAGTCTTCATGACTGTGCATGAAGTTGCTAACCTTTCCAAATTTGGTACTGTCCATTCAAGCCCAAAGGATAGAAAATGTACGAACCATTAATGATGCTCCATAATAATGTGCAACAAATCGAAGTGTCTTGCATATTACCTTTCTCTTCTCAGAGTCAAAATCCTAAAGAAATATGTTATTAAAATGAAAAATGAGTTGAGAGAACTAAATGTCTGCAGCATGAAGATATAAATTATTCAATGCAGATATAGAGTATTTCTTAGTTGTTTGTTTATTTTTTGAACACACCCTCAGGAGTAGGCTTCCATTACCTTGGCATTTGTTTCTATAGAGAGCGGAACAACAGCTGCAGCCTTCTAGAGCTACAGCTGTCAGATCTTCCCTTGTTTAAACACTTAGCTCAACAGAATTCAGAAATCAGCACACATTTCATAGTGTGGAATACCCTAAGGATTCTCTGACAAGCAAAGATAAGAAGAAACCAATTTTCTACTTTCTTCAATTTAAAAGTAGGGAAGTAAGTCCTATCCCTTGGTGACTAGGTTCAAGATTCAGTTTCTAAATCTTCTACCTTATCCCCATTCCACTGTATTTGTTGTTCTTTACCTATTTTTGCTTTCCCAACTATATACTCTTTTCTAAAATCTAAGATGTGTGACTCCTTGACCTCTCCCTCTGAGAGATACTTTCATGTTTCATTATTACGTTTTTTTAGAAAATGTTTTTTAATATTTTATCACAGAATCCTATTTTTTTCCAATATCACAGTGCTACAAATGAAGTTGATCCTGGTGCTTATCAAAATATACAAGACAATTGATGTTTTATATAAAACCACTTTATATGTTAACTTGTTCCCAACCTCCCACACTTTTTTTTTCTTTTTTGGCCTGATTAAAAAAACCTGTTACAAATATTTATAACATCTTCTATTAGATGAACATTCTTATAAAATGAAAAAGGGAATCTTATGAACAGACCATGCAAATCATTATTACTTTGGTTCCTCTCCCATAAAGCATAGACATGTATGTATAACAAACTCAACTAGAAGTGGAAGAGCTTACCTGAAAAATATCATATTTACTTCCAATTATGACCAGAGGTATTGGAAATGGGTCAATTAATTCACGATCCTGTTAGCAAACATATTTCATTGATTTACTATAATTACTATTGTATATTCAGCAATTTCTATTTACTTCCAAAAAGATACCATTTTCAGTCTCTTCATAGATGTTGACCATGCTTGCTTGACATTTAAGGTTGTTCCAATAATTAACCTTCACTTAATAAACTGTATTTCTCAAGTATAAAACTATAAAGAGCAATTCCCTAAATTACTAAAAGATTTATTCTTTTTGTGTGTTCTGCCCTTTTATTTTCTTATATAACATGTCATCTTCCTTTTCGTTTCTTACTATTTTGTGTTAACTGTTTGTTGCAGTAGCATTTATACTGCATACATGGGAACCATAAGCTATCCGTTTTGTTGGATATTACCTATGTAACACACATTCATGAAAAGTCTGGGCAATGTAAAATCCTGCTTTTAGCTTTGTAGAAGATGAAATTCATGACTGTATTTAAAGACCTTGTGTTGTCACCATTGCAACTTTATAATGTAATTACCTGTCAGATGATAAATGTACTGACTGTGACACTGAAGGAATGTAAAATATAGAGCGACAGTGAAGGCTGTTTAAACTCTAACCCTTGCTCAAATTTGTAGCTTCCTTTAGTTTCTTGTCAGGTGATATTTGTACAGTTTGGTTTTTAATCTTGGTTTTATAAAATCAATATCAAACTACTACTTAAAACTATTTCTTTAGATTGGTGTAATATGCCATAAAAGTCACAGAAGATGTCTAAGAAGACATAAAAAATCTTTTTCCTTGATATGTTCTTACTGAGGTTTTATAAAATTGCTATAATTTTCCAGTGAGCAGGTTCATCTATATCAAATGAATCTTAAGTCATGCATAAAAATCTAAAGAAGCTGTTGTGATGTTCTCTGTAACTGTGTATGGGCTAAGGTTCCAAGAATAATCCCAGCTGCAACTCACTGGATGGTCCTTCTGCATGTTACTCCGTATCTTCTGTCTCATTTCAGAAGCTGCTGTAGAATCTGTCTTTCCCAGTTTCATTATCACTTTATCTACATGGCTTTTTGTGGCTTGCAACAGATTTTCCATGGTGGGCCAAAGGTCATTAGGCTTTGAAAGATCCAAAACAAGAACAATAGAAAATGTCCTAAAGAAATAAAAAAATATTTTAAAAAAGACTCCAAATAATTACCACTGTGAAACCCTACTATACTGAAAGTTATTATCTAAGAATAAGATAGATTAAGAAAGAAAAACAGATAGCAATTTTCTAAGACAAAAAACAAAACAAAAACAACCCACAATAAAACAGCACCAAAGTTATAGCCTTACTTATTTGAGTGCTTTTTTTAGTGATATGGTAAGTGTCATAACCATTAGTGGCACTGGAATTTTTGTTTGAACTAATACTAATTTGGTTCAAATAATTTGCAAGTAATTGGGTCCAACAATGCATGTTTAGATCCAATTTTACTATGTGTTCCAATGAAGGGAAACTAAAATAATAATAACAGCAGCACAACAGGTAAAGGAGAAGAAAACAGGTTTACTGGTGGACCTTGTTTTAAGCAAAAGAGAAATGAATTGTTCAATTTTTTCGAAGATTAAAATTTGTGTTTCCAATGCATTGGAAATACTTGTGTTACTTTTATCTTCATAGCAAATGAGAGCTAAAAATGTTAAAACAAAGCAAAAACAACCCAACCTCTTAAAACAGAGAATCAGGCCACAGGAGATGCTCTATTACAATTTATCTGAAGTCTGTGGAAACGTTCAATGCATCTGTAATTATTTTATGAACAGTCACTTTAAAGACAAACAATTCTAATAGCAGTTGGAAATATTATTTTCTCCAGTTGCTGGGCTGTGTCCAACAAAAGGAAATTATGTGTCAAATTAATTCCAGTCACAAAATACTCTGAGATTTGCAAGTACATGAGGAGTGAAATGTTTTCCATGAATTCTTTAACGACTCAGCAACCTACTTTGGACCCAGGCCTATGGCTCCCCTTCCCTGTGTTCATAACCTTGACCCCTCCTCTCTCTTAAAGCAGGCCCAGCTGCTGTGGGGTTCCAGGGAAAGGAAGAGCAAGAACTCACAAGGTGGGGTATTAAAGAAGCTGTGGAAAGATTTGGCTTCCTACAGAAATCAGATTTTCCAAAAGCCCAGTGGGCCCAAACCCTGTTAGGCCTAGAAATGGCAAGTGAGGTAATGTAACAAGGTAATGCGACAGTCAGGGTCAGAACTGGAGCCCCATGAGAGCCCAACTCCGTTCAGCCTCAGGCCACACTAACTGGCAGCTCAGGTTCCTTTGGCTCCTCCCACCCTCACCAGCTCTTCTCCACTATACTACCCTGCATAGCTACCCTAACTCCCAGGCAGCTTCATTTTCTCTGTTAAAGGAGGACAAATGGAAAACTAGATAGCAGTAAAATTCCATGCTCCTGAAGAGTAATGTCACGGGGAAAGGGTGGTTATAAGCGAGAAAGCAAAATCTAACTGTGCATATAAAACATCTAAAATCTGTACAAGTTATATTTACAAACACTGGAAACACTGAAAGAAATACCTTGACATGTTAACAGTGATTATTCTTTTATGTGATGATGGGTGCTCCTTCTTTGTACCTTTCAGTATTTTTCCCAGTTTTCTATATGAGCATACACTAAAATTATATATTTTTAAAAGCAAAAAAATCACTGGACAAATAAAGCCCACATTACCTAGAATCAGCTATGGAAAAACAATTGTCCTGTTAATAAGAAATAATTCTATACCCTAAATATGTTAGTGGCTGACATAGAATAAATATCAGGTCCTTTGTATTTGGTCCATGTATCAAGAAACCATTTGTGTTAAACCCTGACAAAAGTAAGATATTTCAAAGTTTTTGTTTTCCTTGGCTAAGATGGTTCCCATGAACATTGTGAGAAATGTCACAATTTTCCACATCTGATTTGGCCAATATGTGGGAGGCACTGTCAGGAAAACCAAAGAATTTGAGGTTTCCCCCAAAGTTCTATTTCTTTAAGATCGCACATAGAGAGACATTCTCCCTCCTCTAACTCATCGTCTTCCCTTTGACGAAGCATCAACAGTATTAATTCGCATTAAACTCAAAGGCAGATGTAATATCCAGCCAAAGGAAAAAACTCAGGGCGGAGCTAGCTCACACTTGGATGCGTACTGGAAAGAATTAAGCTTTTCACATTCATTTCTGCAAAGTGAATTCACTGCCCGACTATTATTTGACATATTTTTGTTTGCAGGCTTGCAAAACATGTTACTAGGTGGAATGCCAGCTCTCTCATTTCAGCAAAGGCCAGAGCCTTAGTTCTTTTTAACTCTTTTTGAAGCATTACAGTTGAAGCACATAGAAAGGAAGTGAGCATAAGCCTTCAGCAACATAAAACTGTCCCCCAAAGTTCTGATTCACAAAAGCCTACTCATTCCCACGGACACAACTGACTGGGTGCTTACTAACTACTGTTCCTGGAGCTGGCTCACTTACCTTAAGGCGTCACTTGTGATTGGTATGCTGATTAAGTCCAATAAAGAGGTTCCTCCACCTAGTTCCCAAAAGTGAGCAATATCTTTTGGCTGGAAAACAAAAACAAAAACAGGTGTTTTTTCTCCAAAGTAATTTTTTTGAATTTGAAATACTTATATTTCATTAGTACCAGTCAGTAATAATTATGGATACAAAATACTATAGTCCTCCATCAACCTATTCTTGGCAGTTAAAACTTTCCTCTTTTCTATCCCATCCCTCAAAATGCATCAAAACATCTATTCCAAAGAATAAAGATGAAGCATTAAGAACATATATGTACACATAAATGCCCTAATTCTAATAATTCTTTAATAGAAGACAAACAGTGCCCTAATTCTGTAAATAGCACATGTAGCAGACACTTACTCAAAAGTGATATAAAAATAAGTAGTTAAAAACATTTGGTATTATCTTTTTGAAAACAGTTATGATTCTAGATAGAAATAAAATCGTTGAATAGGAAAATATCCTGATTTAGGGATGGAGAGGCTCACACAATCAATTAGACATACAGGTAGGGCATGGGGAAATGGGGCAGACAGATGGTAGTCCCTGATGCAGACCAGGGTTACCTGAGCAAGGATCTGTGCCGGATGCCCCTGGGGAATCTGACAGGCAGGCTCTCACTGGCAATAAACAGCTGCTTCCCTGTTTATAGGACTTTTCAATATGAGGGGATGAAAGGGCTAGGCAGCTCAGAATCAAGACCAAGACAAGCTCCCTAGATGGCTAGCCAATGACATCTCCGCTTCCACCCTGACGTGGAGTCGCCATCAGGACACCACACTGTGAGGAGCTGACAAAGGGCTTCCATGTAGAACTCTCAGGGAACATTACATTCAGAAAGATATGAATCTTCTAGAATGAATATGGACAAGCTCAACTTGACAGCACAAAGTTTAGAGGAAAAAAATAGGTGAAAAAAGCATCACATGAGCTTTTAATATATCTACTAACCATGAACTTGGAAGAGACAGATGGTCATTAAAGCAAGTTTTAGATGAATATATGTACTTGACAAATCACCATCTCATAATCACTGAAGTTGTTTTTGCTGTTGATATCTGGATTATTAATGCCTGTGGGGGAAGTAATTTTGTCATTGGGGAATGTCAATTGATTTACAATTTGATGAAAGGATGTTTTTAGAGCTCTCCTCAAAAGTTAAGATTATGAAAGTTGTCTCAGAGTTTCCATTTCTAAGTTTATCACTCATGTCAAAGTTCATGTGAGTAACAAAAATAAAGTTCTTCTATATCTCAATATCTTGTTTTTTCTTTTCTTTTTAATTTCACAGTTTTAATGACCAACTCTCATTGCTGAATGCAGGAAGAAGCATCAGGCAGTTTTAACTCTTTACACACTGTCTAATCATCAGAATTTGGACTAAGTCAATCTATAAAAATTTGCCTGTGCTACAGAAGTGGGACCATCTATTCTAGATTGTTCTTCCATACAGCTAACTTTATTTAAGAAATGGCCTCTTTTCATGTGAGGACTCCAAAAGAGAATTCGATTTAGGCTTTTTAAAAAAATCCTCCTCACAAATGCTATAAATTCCCCCTCTACATTGAATAATTTCTAACTTTGCTTTGAAGAGACATTAAAACAAGTGAAAATAGGATTTTAAACAATTAGGGCCTGCAGTCTAAAATAGTTTTACCAACTTCAGGGTATATTTTCTAATAATTTGCTTTTTGAGCAGTATATTTTCATAAATATTCCACAGGTCGAACATATTTTTAGAAGATTTTTTGGGGAGACACAGAAGGTAACTCACATATTCTCATTTGAAAGAAGAAAAAGTCACATTAATACAATTAATAAATTATGCCCCGAAACCATACAATAAAGTTACAAAGGAACCTTATAATAGCATTTGAAGACATAACAAATGAGAAGGCCAAAATATTTTCAGTTTGGGTTAGCTTCATATCTGCTGAGTTGCATTTGAAGTTTAAAAGCACATAGCCATGAAGTGTACAGCCTGATATATTTACTGATTGTAGATAAGATGGAAAATGTAAAACAAAGTCAGCATCATTACTTCTCCGTCTGTGGGCATAGCAGTATCACTTAAAAAGACACTCACCGTGTTATGCCCTTTAGCTTTTCTTCCATATGTATATTCCAAGGCTAAGGTTGGTTTTGGTGGCTCATCCCTGTACAATAAAGACAGACAGTATTACCATTATTTTCTTATGCTATCATCTTACCTGATAAATTTTTGCTTCCTTCTAAAACTTTAATTTACTAGTGGAGAAGTTACCTTGTATAATAGCATTGAGGTAAAAATGATTTTAAAATTATGTAAAAAATCAATAAGCCTTCAAAACACCATCCTGATGGATTCTAGTGGCAGCTGCAGAGGTGAGTACCAGTGCCTGCGTGACCTGGTAGCCCAGCAGAGAGGCCGTGGGGCTGGCAGTGCTGACGGCTGTTAGGGCACAGGCTCTCCGCACCCAGGCCAGGTGGAAAGCACTGACACCAGGGTCATGCTCAGCCTTGCTATGGGGAGCGGGGAACCGAATGACTATCAATTTAATGAAGACATCAGTGGAGACTTACATACAGTTCTCTACCTTAAATCACAGCTCAAATGCGGGCATCATTTATCTCCTGAGAGCTACCAACAAATGACATTAGTGACTCCTAAACATCGACACATGATTTGAAAAATATTAAAATTATCTTATATATTATTTACATTACAGCTTACATTGCTTGGTAAGCAGTTTTATGGTTTATTTATTTATTTGTTTGTTTTACTCTAGTAGCAAGACATAACATAAATTGATAATCTTAACCATTTTAAAGTGCACAGTTCAGTAATGTTAAGTATATTCACATTGTTATGCAACCACACTTTTGAACTTTTTCATCTTACAAAACTGAAACTTCAAACTCATTAAACAACTCCCCATTTTCTCCTCCCTCCAGCCTCTGGTAAGCGTCTTTGTTTCTATAAATGACTAGATACCTCATACAAGTGGAATCACACAGTATTTTTTTGTGACTAGCATATTTCACTTAGCATATGTCTTCAAGGTTCATCCATGTTGTAGGACTTCATTCCTTTTTAATGCTGAGTAATATTAGTATTTAACTATTTTAAATTTGGAGAATAAAAATCATTTTTAATTTGTGATTTATATATTTATGCTTATTGAATATTTTGTATATCACTCCTGTACTTTTTTCATTTATATATGGAATATTTGGTTCTATATCCTGTAAGATAAGAATTTCCTTTATGAAACAAAATGCTGCTTTTAAGACAAAATTTTAAAACTCTGATATTTAACCTACAATTTGAAGAACTGTTCTTTTTCTAAGTAGACTATCAAGGGACCCAAATTCATAATTTTCAGTTCAATTTAGATGTTGTCCTAAGCTGATGTTGTGCTGGATGACGTATTTGTAATGAGAAACACACCTGCCCTGAAAAGAGCCATGGCTCCTGGGGATGGAAGGATGAAGTAGGTATCACTGTGGATGGCTCTTCTAAGAAACAATTTTGCTGACGAGGAATTACACAAAGCCAACATTCTATTATTTGTATTATTTAATAATATTTTGCAAATGAATGTTTCTTTAATGTGACCTTAAGACCAGATTCCATCTCTCTTGCTGTTTTTGGAGAAGTTATAAGAAAGGCATTGAAATAAAGGGAACAGAGAAATATCCCCCAAATTGGTTGGAGGCGCTTCTTATCAACTTCCCACAATATCTAGCCATTATAATCCTAAATCTTAATCTGATGTCAGTATAGAAGGCTAAAAAGTACAGAAAACAAATGGTAAAATGTACAGTTTGAGGACCAACATTCTGCTTCAAAATTGTATCAATGAGTAATTTAAAGATTATGACTAACATTCAAATAATCATGGACTAGATAGAATAAAAACAATTAAAATACCACAGTAGTATAGCCAAAAAGAAAGTAAGTGTAGGCTGTGTAGTCATGTTAATTTCTCCATGAATAGGGAAGTTCAATATTAATGCTGTATAATTTTTTTAGTTACTGTTGGTTTTATTTTTTCAAGAAGATCTTAAAGACCATGCTAAGGGTTCACTAAGAATTATTCTGTTTGTACCTCAAAATTGTTCTCCTTCCATATGTCTTTTAGTATCTAACTTGCCTTTTGGAAGCAAAAAATGTAGTCTAAACGTTAACATAACACTTACCTGTCAAGAGATCTTAGAATAATAGTAGTCTTGCCCTAGAAATTTAAAAAAGCAATACTGTGTTAATGTCATCCATATGTAAAATTTTACTATTGTTCATAGTTGTGGCCCAAAATAGCTTTTTAATTACTTGAATGATAAATTACCTGGAAACTAGAAACTTTCAGAATTGTTCCCAAGTTTGATAAGTGGTAAAAGTTAACTGTCAACTTTCCATCACAGTGTAGTAACTACACTGCTATTATTATAATTATAAAGCCCCTTGGACGACAAATACTAGCAAATCATACCTCACTTTAGTGGTCAACTTGTCAGCTGCCTTAAATTTTCTTTTTACTCATCAATGCTAATTACTGGTTAAGCTGATGATTAGTGTCTTCTAAAATGTTTGAATTCTAATTGTTGAAGTGGAAATAAAGAAAAAAGATAACATACAAATAAAGGACATGTTGCAAATATGTTCAAAGTAAGCAATCCAGATACATGGTTAGAGTATTTTTTTGTTTTATTTCTAAAGGATTTCTATTTTTTTAGGACCACATACATAAATTATTTTAATATAATTAAAAATACAAACAGACTGTAAAAAAGGGCCCAATCTAATAAAATTAAGGACAAACCAATAGCATAAATGAAAGACTTACAGATCTCAAGCTCAACCTTAGTGAATAGGGTTATGTGATTACTAAATTTTTCTCTTTTTTCTTTATTTTTTTCCATCACCATTTAAATTTTTTTATACAATAAAACCAAAGCTCAGCATCTGGAAAAAGAGAAGCTTGCAGACCTGCTCTTGTCTATTTTAATGAAACAAAACCTCAAAATTTCTGTTTCATCCTGAGAATTACACATTAGAATAATTCTAGTTAAGAGTTACTGAGATCGTGACAGATAGAGAATCCATGACTGACATAGAGTCCATGACACAGAAGACACGGCTGAAAGAAATGAAGATAAAGCTGAAACAGATACTCGGGGAGACAGGGTAGTTGCCATTAACTATTTGATGAGCCATTTTATAATATTTGAAAATTTAGCAAATAGAAAAGGAATTCGATTTATTCCCATAGTTTTACGGGTCAGAATTAGGACCAAGGGGTGGAAGTTACAAACGGAAGTTTTCTAATAACTAGGAGTTAACAAAAATTGAAACAGGCTACAGTTTTGGAAGAGAACTCCCCCACTGCTGGAGATGTTCAAACTCTAAAACCACTGTTTGCAATAGCCCTTAACCTTTTCAGGAGGTGCTAGAATGCTAGGATATTCTAATTTCCCAGAAAAATGCACTGATGCACAATCACACAATTTTGCATACATTTCTTGGGAATTCACTGATCCCAAGAAGTATCTCTACGGTCCCCAGGGTTAAGAATCCCTATTGTAGAAAACTAGAATATCTCCCCCAGTAAGTGAAGGTTAACCATATCATACTTATATGGTTCATGTTTATATTATCTATATGCTTATGTCCGTTGTACAAGTGGTCATCAGGTTAGCACTTATGGTGCCTTTGTGCAAATTGGGAAGAGATGGCTCCTCTGGGCAGTCTAATTAGAGGCAAGTGCCCCTGCCTCCAAGCTGCTGTGGCCCACGTCAGGGACACCAACAACAAGTGTTCAGGCTGGATGTGAGTACCCACTCACCCATAAGCAGGACACCCTCAAATGGGGCATAACCAGCTCCAACATAACCAGCAGGCCAGAGACTCATTAGATGGCTCAAGAGTTGAAGTATCCACATTTTTATCAAAGGATTAATACAAATTTTACCACTAGTTGTTAAATCATCACAATACTTGGAAAAAATTAGGAAAAATTACCCCATTTTTACTGCCAATGAAGAAAACGGATTTTTCTCCAATTTCAGCTCCATCACCTTCACTTCCGTTACTTTCCCGTTTCTCCACTTCAGCTTTTGCAATTTCCCAGAGCGTTTCACTGAGAGGCAGGAAAACAAAATTCAGAGAAACAAGAAGACTTCTTTCCATTATTTATTTCAAGCTCAGAGCACTTTTATTTCAGTCAAATTTACAAAACGAATCAACATTATTTTCTGGAGGACAATAAACTGGTAAAACTGCTGACTGAGGATTAGTCATTTTCTTTGTACTGGTTCATCAGAGAAAGCTGACCATGATACGCAGAGCCTTTCGCACCAGACTTTGAGGGTTTCTAATTCTGGGGCTCCCAGGCGAGGCTGAAAGCTGTATGTGTGAGCTTCTCAGGCACATATGAATATCCAACTTTGGGAAAGATACAACTTGAAAAACAGCATCTGGGCAAATGGGGGAAGGTGTAAAACCAGTGTACCAAATAATCTCTGCTCCCTCAACTATTCCTATTTTTAACTCAGGATTCCCTTATTTTTTTTAAAATATATTTTTATTGATTTTAGAGAGGAAGGGAGAGGGATAGAGAGATAGAAACATCAATGATGAGAATCATTGATCAGCTGCCTCCCGCATGTCCCCCACTGGGGACCGAGTCCGCAACCCAGGCATGTGCCCTTGGCCGGAATCGAACCTGGGACCCTTCAGTCCACAGGCCGATGCTCTATCCACTGAGCAAAACCAGCCAGGGCAGGATTCCCTTATTTTTAATACAGAAAATATAAAGAAAAAAATCACCCAAAATCACATTTTGAAAATCATTTTCATTCATATCTCTACACACACATATAATTTTACACAAATACGATTACATCATTTTTTAAATTAAAGCTTAATGTGAAAAATGGAGTATTGAACTAAAAAGAATGAGCAAGATCTGATGTGTTGTACGCCTGAATCTGCTACATTCTACATATGCCAACTTGGGCAAATTAGCCAGCTTCTCTGGATCCTTCATTCCCTTATTAGTTTAGCAAAAATTTATTGGGCACCTAATACTTGCAGGTTTCTGTGCTGGTCCCCAGGCTCACCTGTTTCTTCATCTCTAAAATGCTAATAAAAAAGAATACCAACCTTATAAGATTGTCATGATTGATTATTAAAATGTATCATTTAGTTTAGGGCTTGGCCGACTTATAATTATTAAGAGCTTATAATAATTGTTATTCAAGAACCAAGGATGAAGAAAGGAGCTAAAGCAGGTGTCCCTAAATGTCTGCACTAAAATTCACACATTCATTTCAGGGTGAGCCCCCTGGAACTCAGTCCAGGCCTGTCTGCTCTTTATTTACATGCCATTCTCTCAAAGCGTGATTATCTGCTTTCCAACTTCCCAAAGAGAGGAGAGAAGGAGGTGCTGCAACCAGTCTTGCCGCTGGGGGAAAGTTATAACTATAGCCAGAACTTTAAAATCCTAACCAATGGTACGGTTACTGGGAAACTAACGGTTTCTCACACAAGATTCATAGCCTCCTCAGAGATCACACTGCCAACCCACAAGGTGAGAAAACCCCATTTACGCTGCTCTGTGATGGACTCCAGGAACCCCATCTCCTCCACGTCCTTACACATTGTTCAGAGAAGGTGTAGGGGTGGCCTTGGGAACAGGGACTTAAAACCGGCACCACAGAACTGAAGAGCTACAATGTACTTAACAGGTCATCCCTATCCCCTCCGCTCCCTCCCCTCGCTTTTAAACACGATCCTACACTTAGTGCTGCCGCAGGTCCCCCGACCCCCCTCGTTTACTGTTGCTGTGAACCCCTGCACCAGGAGGGGGTCCCGAAGGAAGTGGCTTTGTGAACCCCTGCTCCTAGGGCATTACATTCCCTGGCCTGCAAGAAACTTTTATTGAGTAAGTGCATGGTTGGAGTTGAATGTTTCCAAATCTCTTCCTTTCTACCTGGGGAACTTTCGGCAGAATCCACACGCGCAAGGGCAGTTCCCACGGGTCTCTGACCACCCAGGTACGGGTTGCAAGCAGGACAGACCTACAATTTTCTCCCACCATCGGGTCCCACGTGGGCTCCCCTCCCAAAATACACCCCCAGCGGCCTCTCCCTCCCCACCCCTTCCACGCTAGGGTGGGAAAGAGGGGAGGCGATCGAGGGGAGCGTAAGCCTGGCGCGAGCAGGGATGCGGGGATACCTGGGCATAGTGGCTCTGCAGCCCCAGGGTCCGAGCTCCGCGTAGGGCCCAGCTTAGAAATTAGACCGCAAACTCCGAGGTGGGCCCGGGCGAGAGGCTCTTCGGTTGCCATGGGAGCGACGTCACAGGCTGGGTTGCGTGCAGAAGAAGGGCTTTATGGGAAATGTAGTTCTCAGTGTCCTTTTTCAAGTCTCAAGCTCAGCCGCATCTCCCAGAATGTGCAAGAACGAAGTGACACGCGGCAACAAACTCTTTGATCTAAAAGTTCTCGGCTGCATGTGTTCTTTCATTTAAAAAAATTCTATTGAGTACCGAATATATGCCAGGATTCTCTATTCTCTCTCTCTCTCTCTCTCTCTCTCTCTCTCTCTCTCTCTCCAGGTAGTTTTCTCTTGCCAATAGCAGTAATTTGGGAATGGAGAGTGAAGCAATCTCCCGAGCTATTTTCTAGTGATTTACTAGCGGCAAAGAATATTATGATTTTTGTATTTCCCAACTTTCTGCTTATTTAGTTGTTTCCGGCTTTATGCAACAGCACATTATTTATTAACAGGTTAATAACGTCAATGCATCTCCACAATATTTCACTTACTTTACCTCCAAATCAATAATAAATATTGATTTAGTACTGTATGCAAAACTGTGTGCTACACAGAGTAAGAAATGAAGCGATGATTAAGATAAGATCCTTACCCTTGAGAAAGATATACAATAGTAATTAAATAACCCAAAGGAAGCCAGTGATATAAACTATTGCAGAGCTCCCCCAAATTACATAAGAATAAGTGACTATGCCCATTGCTGTTGGGGGAACATTCATGGCAGTGGCAGTAGTTGATCTATCCTGAATGCTGAGTAGACACAGGCTTTCCAGCTCAAGATGTCCTGGATATTTGAAGGAGATAACTCTCCCTGCACCCTTCTGCCACTGGCTTGGTTTCTATGGTGTAATGTTCAGGAACATGGACCTTAAAGTGAGACAGACCTGGATATAAATCCTGACTCAGCCACACTGTGAACATTTGTGTCTTGTTTTGGAGTTATTTGCTAATAGATATTGCCTTAGTAAGAGTTTTTGTTTCTTGCCTATTACTGGACCCCAAAATACTTCAAACATACAATGAAGATTTTTGGATTGATGTTGATTATAAATATGCCTTCAGAATCATTGTGACTGTTCAACTTAGGTAAAATTATCATATGAAGCAAATGTTTATCTCATCTCCTCAGCCCAGTCTCTGCCCAGGCCCATCCAACTCCTCACTGTAGGAATGACCTTCCCACTTTCCCACTTAAATGCCCAAGAAAAGCCCAAGGTTTGGTCCCACTGAAATATGGATGAATCTCACTTTACCCTAAATATCCATGTGTGGACTTTACATTAATTTGGAGTTTAAATTACTCACGCACTAGTAAAACCCCTTTCTTCTTTTAGGGAAAAGAGAATAGGGGAGAAACGTGAGAGGAGATACAATTTCTACATGAGCCATGTGGCAGAGAAACTTCTCCTGTTATTCCTGTTCCCTATTCCCCCATTTCAGTGCCTACAATCCTGAAGCCTTGGCTCCACAGACATCAGCCCAGAGACTGCACTGAGGGAGTCTGAATTCCCTGGCAGCTCGGGGGCGGGTGCACGGGTGAAATGTGTTCTTGGCATCCCAGGAACACTGAAAGACTTTTTCTGGAGAAATAGGGTTATCCATGGTGGTTAGTGCTTCAGGATTATACTTCCGTAAAATTATGGGTTAAATGTATTGTTCCAGGAACCTGACCACCTTTTTTTTCTATTAAAAAAAAAACTCCAACCAACCAACTAATATACACAATTTTAGAACAAAGATTCTGTAAGTTGTGACTAACTTTTCTTGTAAATGGAGAGTTAAATTCATTTCCAAGCTCTGGCAGTATTTGACTTTAAGGACACACACACACAAAACATAGAACCATTCACAATAAATTTTTAGAAAACAGTCCATTCAACTCATCTATATGCAATAAGCTCCCTTAAGGGGTTAATATGAAATCATGGGAGAAGCCCATGCTTTATACATATTGTATATGTGTCAATATGCATACACATGTATTAAAATTATAACTTGCCCAAACGACTTCCTTTTATATGGATAAAACAAAGCAACACTGAAGACAAAGCATGAATATAAGAGAAAGAGGTAATAACTACCATTTTCACTATGAGTACACCTCAGTTTTGACAATGAAAACGTTAGCTACTTCTTTAAGATTATTCAAAATATAATGCTCAAAATGGGTTTTGTAAGTCATTTATTATGATTGAAAGGTAAGAAAATGATAGGAGACACATATTACAATTAAACATGTAACATTATTCTCTTGTAGCCAATCATAATAACATAGTTTTAATTTTTTAAATGTCTATATAAGTAATTTTCCAGAAAATGAAATTTTCACATCATCAGTTACAGAAAATTGACTTCTTTCCATCAAAATATTTTATCTCTGCTCTATCAAAATTAATACTGAGTCTAGGGTACTAAGGTTTAAGCTAAGCCTTCACAACTTGTTTAAATTAGAAGATTTAGGGTTGCTTACCAAATGGTGAACTAACTATTTCCTGGGAATAAAGTTCTCACACATATTTAACAGCTCTGCCAAGTCTCTGGCTCACCAACTAATGATTTTTTAAATGGTTTTCTGGGAACTTAAAAACTCTATTGTATCCCAGCCAAAAAGCCTCCTGAGAGTCATCTCAAACTAGTAACCAGTTTATTCTCAAAAACGAATTTGCTTACACAATAAGTGGTTGTGGCTCAAAAGATTTAGGGAAAATAGTAAATGGAAATCTCTTTCTATGGTTTGTTGTTGCTGTTCTTGTTTTATCATTACCAATAAAGCAACATCTTACTTAAGCAGCACATTTCATGGCTCTGTCCTTTCTAGGGATGCTCGTATGGGATGGAACATTTGTAAAAGGCTTAGTGTGAGAACAGTATACTGCCATAGGGAGCAAAGAAGAAAACATGAAGGCTCTGCCAACAAATGAATTCAAGCAGCTAACATTTTTTTTTTCAAATTGGTTAAAAAAAGTACCATACACAAAGTGATAAATATGTCCAAAAAATAAATACAAATATTCTACACATAAATAAAATTAAGTATACTGATTACCATCGCAATTAAACATCTTATAATTTTCATGTCTTATCACAGTTTCATATTTATCAAGAATACTAATTACTATGTCCTGACACATACTACAATGTCACTGACCATTTATGTAGCCTAGTAAAAGAATATATTTCTAGGCTCTTTCAACTAAAATTTCACCTCCTTTGACAGAAATATTACTTTCTCTTCTTATAAATATACTAGAGGCCCAGTGCACGAAATTCATGCACGGGTAGGGTCCCTAGACCTGGTCGGCGATCAGGGCTGATCTGTGGGGCGACCAGCGGGGCGATTGGGGGCCCCCGCTGGCACCCACCTTGACTGACCTGGGGCCTGCGGGCTAGGGGCAGCTCCTGTATTGAGCGTCTGCCCCCTGGTGGTCAGTGCACGTAATAGTGACCGGTCATTCCACCGGTTGTTCCACTCTTTGATTTGCATATTAGACTTTTATTATATAGGATTTTTTGGGAATTTATTTTCAAACTACCATGAAAAAGGACTGTATGAGGCAAAAATTTAAGAACTGTCTTTGTTTTCAACGATATTATTTAACAAACCAAGGTCAAGATGGCCCAGCATCAAATGCAATGAAATGTGGGCAATATTCCAGTAAACGCAGGCTCTGTTGACAACCAAGGAATGTCAGGAATCACTGTCTCGTTTTAAATTTTACACTCTAGTGATCTGAAAGCTGACGGTGTATGCTTCCTAATATTACATAGAAAGTTCTGGTTACCTAACTCCTGTTTTCTCACACAATGATTCATCGGGCCAGAAGATTTACTGAACTTGCTCTAAAAATTTATACATAAACACCATCCTGCAGCTGTTTCTTACACTCTGCACTCCACTTCTTTCCAAACACATTAATTAAAATACATTTAATTACAGTACTTAGCTTTTTGGCAGTATTTCCAAATATTCAACTCGTTTGCCAAGTGAGAGTTTGGAATCTCCCTTTCTAAAGATTGCCAGAATGTTTTTTAAAAGAAGAAGAAAAAATAAAAAAACCATATTGCATGATGTGTCTGATAGCAAGGGAGAAGGGAGACAGAAAAAAATTACAAATTCTAACCCATTTAATCCAGGAGAACATCAGTATGTGTGCAAGTTTTGTGTGTTATGTGTTATTAGTATTCGTTTGAATATTTATGAATAAAATAAAACAAATAACCTCCATTATTTTTAAAATCTGGAATACGAGTATGTGGGTGCCATGTTGCCAGGATGTAAATAAACTTATTTGGAGCGGATGCAGCCACTGCTTAGAGGACAGGGAGTGATGTTCAGGCCCCCCACACTTTCAGAGTAAAGTGGGGCCTTTGGTTGGTCTGCTGCTTGAGAGCAGGGGCTGGCTTCCCATCGTCCTGGCGTGGGGTCCCTGGTTCCGGGCTGAGAGCAGCGCTGGAGCAGAGAGGTGGTGAAACGCAGCCTTTTGCTGATGGAAGTTGTTTATGTAACTGGCGATCAAAAGCGTGATTTCAAGAATCTAAAACAAGAAAAACAGAATTGTTATGCCCCTGAGAAGTTCTCATTATTTCCAAAAGGAAGTGTTAGCTATGGGTAGTCTCTATTTGCAAGTGCCCAGGCTACTAGCATTCCCTTCTACGCAGATCAAACAATGAGGCATTTACATGTTTGCATGTAAGTTTATTTACTGCATTTAGTTAGAGGCATTAGTTTGCTAAAAATAGTAAAGAAAAGTGTGTTTTAATCATAAAATCTCAATCTTCCCACTAATGGGTCGGTAAAGTGAATTACGCCAAGTAAATACGATAATGCATATAAAGTTCCTCACAACAACTTACACCAAGGCCACTTATGTTGAACCTTCTGTATAGCAAGCATTGGGCTAAATACAATTCCTTCATTTAATTCTTAAGTAAACAAACAAACAAAAGGTAGCATCATACCATTTAATTTTTAGATGAAGAAACCAAAGCTTTAAAAAGTAGAGGTAAGCCAGAAGTTGGAGCTAGGGTGTTTGACTATAAGTGAAGTCTGTTTTCTCCTCTGGAACTTAGTCTTTGCACAATAAATGTTTTAGTGTGAAAGAACACTAGCATAAAGAGTTGGTTCAAAGAATTCTACTCACCTTGGGTTTTGCCATGGCAAAAAGTAATTTCTCTGTTGGTTTGTCCTTTGAATGCGTATTGCTAATGACCATCATAAAGTCATCTTGATATCCTCCAAATGTCATTAGACTCTTGTACACATAGCTGACTATTAACCTCTTCAAAGAGAAGTAAGTATGTTATACACTCTTTATTTTCAAAGACAGATGAGAAGTGATTAATAGCATATCTCCGTTAAATGCTGATATTAATTATGATATAATACAAACATTTTTCCTAAAGTCAAATTTACTGTGATCCAAAATAGATAGCAGTATACTAATTTTATTTATCATTTACCTTTATAATTAAAATACATTTTGATTTTGAATCAAATAACTCACTTTAGGAAAATGAGAAAAATACAAGAAGAAAATAAAAAGTGTCAATCTTCCAGCATTCAGTGGAAAGCCACTGTTAATATTTTTGTATATGTCCTTTAATATTTTTGTATATGTCTACATATGTATGTTAGGTTTAACCATATGAAACTGATACTTTTTAGGGTAAAACATGTCAAATATTGGCAAATCCATATGGTTTATACTGATTTGCATACTTTGATTTACACAGACAAAAATAGTATCATGCACCTGATTCTTTTTAAATTTAACTACATATTGTGAAAATCTTTCCATGACAACAAATGTACTTATATAACGTCTTTACCATTTCTTATTTAACTCAACTCCTATTACAGAACATTTAAATCATTTTTGTCACTAACTTAAGCAACACTCCAATGCATATTTTTCAACATATTTTGTAATACACATATGTAATTATTCCTTTGGTTACAAACATCAACAGCTGGAATTGCTATCTCAAGAAAATAAGGACAATATTTAGAATATTTCCAAACTCCTCCAGAAAGGTTATACCCATTTATGTACCCAGCACCTAACACTAAATATCATTTTTTGAATCTCTGCCAACCTCTGACTGGTGAAAAGTAGAATCTCACTGCTTTAAATTGAATTTATTTGATTACTAGTGAGATTAACATTTTAAAATACATGTACTGAACATTTGTATTTCTTCTGTAAATTGCCTTGGACCATTTGTCTATCGGTGTGTTGATCACTTCCTTATTGTTTTTTAAAATGTGTTTTTATTGATTTCAGAGAGAGTAAGGGAGAGAGAGATAGAAACATCAATGATGAGAGAGAACCATTGAATGGCTGCCTCCTGTACTAGGGATCAAGCCCGAATCCCAGGCATGTACCCTGACCAGGAATTGAACCAGTGATCTCCTGGCTCATGGGTCGACACTCGACCACTGAGCCACACTGGCTGGGCCATTTCCTTATTGTTTTATTAAAACATCCATGTTTATAAAGGATACCAACCCTTTATCATATATGCAGCACATATTTTTCCTAATGTGTTGCTTAAACAATTTTAAAAATATTATTCAAAGATGTGCAGCCTAAAAGGAAAGGAATCTGCACATCTAATGATTAGTTTGCAAGAATGAGCAGACCATTCCAGCACTGACTGGCTCAAGGCTCAGCCCACACATGTCCACTTCCTGCTGTTTACCCACCTCCCAGGATCTAGGGAACTGGTTTTCTTAGCTAAGATAACTCAATCACGGTGTACAGTTTTTTGTTGACTTTAAATCCAATTTTAGAATCTATCTTCAAGTTATCCATTCAAGAACTAAAAGGCATTCAAAAGCACAAACTCCTTCCAAAACATTTTTTAAAGCGATTATAAGGAGAAACAGTTACTATAACACTTAAAAATAGTTTGATTTCCAAAAAATTCTCAGTGATCACTGACTGTCCACAGTTGGAGAGCCCACGATACCTACCAGGTAAAATGTAGCAATTCCTGCCTGCCAGCTTAAAAAAAAAACCACAACATTTTTACTATGTAATATGATACATGCGAAGTAAATAAATGACACACAGACAGCATATCTGACTTTATATTTAATCACAGAAAAAGGTCTAAGATACTGTCTAGGTACAAGTAAACTGATAAGTGATATGACAGGAAATTACAGAAATCCTCACAGAAGCCTTAGGGAAACTGAACTTAAGTTTCTATTTTAATGTTATCTGTTATTTTTTCATTTTACACAGGAAGCAATCTTCCTAACATTATAAATGGTCATTTTAAAAATACAACCATGATTACAATTCGGTCATGGTATCTTGATATTTTTCTCCTACACAGTACAGGCCTACCTTTGGTTTACTGCGCTTCACAGATTTTTATTCAAATTGAAGGTAAGACCCTCCACCAACATAAGATTATTACTCACTAAAGGCGTTGGTGATGGTTAGCATTTTTTAGCAATAAAGTATTTTTTAAAATTAAGGTATGTACATTGCTTTTTTTAGACATAATGCTATTGCACATTTAGTAGACTACAGTATAGTGTAAACGTAAATTTTACATATACAGTGGGGCCTTGACTTACGAGTTTAATTCGTTCTGTGACGGAGCTTGTAACTCAAATTACTTGTATGTCAAATCAAAAAGTGAAAGAGACACGTGATGCTGGGCTGATGTTGTGGCGTTCACTGTGACGTTCGCTGCGCCAACTAGCGGTGGGGTATCTGAAGCTGGCTCGTAACCCGAATTTTAGCTCGCAACTCAAAGCAAAAAATCGGCTGAGAGACGGCTTGTATCTCGAAAAACTCGCTAGTCAAGGCCCCACTGTACTAGGAAACCAAAACATTTGTGTGACTTGCTTATTGTGATATTTGCTTCATTGTGGTGGTCTGGACCCAAACTGCCTATCTCTGAGCTATGCCCGTATAGAACCTGTCTAGTCTTGTTTTAAAAGATTAAACTGTAATCATAGTTGTATATTTATGAAATGACTATTCATTATATACTATTAGGAAGAAAATCAGACTAAGATATCTTTACCTTCTGCTTACAGTACACTGAGCAATAGACTCAGTGCAAAACTTCAGGATTTAACCTTACCATGGAGCTGTATTCTAAGATGCTTAAACCATCCTCATGTATAGCCAGCCACAGGAAAGTATTTCCAAGTGATGATGGAGTTATGGGCTATGAAGAAGTGAAAATACACTTTGTAATAAATGCTAAGCAAATTTACAGAAACATTTTTCAGCTAAAGATAATGCAACATTTAAAACAACAACTATTAAAAATCTCTCTTGGGGAGGAGGCACTGTGGCATAATGGAAAGAGCAGTGAATCTGATATTAGGAAACCTGGGTTTGGGATCCAAAATGTCCATTTATTAATGTGTGTATTGGGACGAGCTATGTGATCTACCCCCTGGCAGGGTCAGTCCCTCCACCCTCAGTGTTCCTGCCGCGCTCTGCTCATGTCACTCTTGGCCATATTCACCAGCCAGTAGTTGTTCCCAGGCCCATTGCAACACTGGATTGTGAGTTCCTGGAAGCTTGAATACAACCCATCTGAAACCACGAGCTTATGTATCCCCTAGAGAGCCTAGCTCAGTGTTTGACAAACAGAATTCATAAAATATGAAATAAATGAGCAAATGAGCGAGAGACTAGATGAGTGAATGGCTGCATGAATGAAGAGAAGAAAGCAAAGTCCAGCTGTTGTCTTCAGTCGAATGCTGAGCCTAATGAGTGTAAGAAATGACTTAAGGGATGGGGGGAGTGGAGCAGAGGGGAAAAGATGGAGAAGCTGATGGCTCTCCTGCCTTTTACGTATTGTTTAAACTGTTGGAAATTTCCTTATTTTCCTTTTAAACGCCGAACCTATAAACCTGGGATTACTGTGACCACTGTTTTATTTACTGAACTGAATTATCCTCCATCTTCCTTACTTTTGCAAGAAACAACTTGGCACCAAAGAATGGCCACTTCCTGGCTACTGTCAAATAAATTCGCACACAATCAGCAGCACTGTGTCCCCGGAGGGCCATCCATCTGGTTGATAGTCGCTGGCAAAGCTGCCTAAAAAAAAAGAGAAAAGAACAAAACAAAAAAAAAGCAAAATATAAAAGTGGATCGTCCTCCTAAGAGAAGGCTCTTCTTAAGCCAGTCCTAGGCAGAACTGGGGTACCTAGACCCAACCTAGGCCAAACTGTTATTTGGTGACTCCCACGTAACCACAGTCTACCCCTTGACCTTTTTGTAGCATTCCTTTCACCAAATCCTCAGTATTAGTGCTCTCAGCATGACCTAGGTTTCCTGTTTCCCACCCACTTCAGGTACTCTTAAAAAATCTGATGAATGCCCAGCCAGCGTGGCTGAGCGCTGACCTATGATCCAGGAGGTAGTGGCTCGATACCCAGTCAGGGCACATGCCCGAGTTGCGGGCTCCATCTCCAGTGTGGGGCTTGCAGAAGGCAGCCAATCAATGATTCTCTCTCATCATTGATGTTTCTATCTCTCTCTCCCTCTCCCTTCCTCTCTGAAATAAAAAATATATATTTTTAAAAAATCTTGATTAGCTAATATAAAGTCTCAGTTTAAATTCTTTTAACAGGTAATTTCTCATGGGAATAACTTTCATTTTTAAAGAAAAGTACAAGAAGTTGAGACCAAAGAATAAATCCCTAACAGTGGAACTTTAGGTACTGCCACCCCTGGCTTGCAGAAATGCTGGATGCAGGGAAAACCTCTTTTAAACCCCTTCTTCTACAGAGAGAAAAGACTCACCTCAAACGTCCCTATTTTGGAAAAACTCATTGGGAACTAGATTTCCTCTATTTTTAAATCTACAGCTTTTCTTTACATGCTCTCAAAAATCAAAACTCCAAGTTAGCTGAGTTTAATTTAAAGCTTTATGTTAAAAAATCTTGTGTAAGATGATAGTTTATTTTTATTCCAATTTGTTCATAATAAAACACCCTAAGAGATAAAAAAAAACACACCAACTTTTGGTAATCACTTCATCAAATTAAACATATTATTGACCAATTTTTTTCTCTTATTTCCTAAATCGAAAAAGTTTTTAGGCATATAAATAAAAAGATGTATAATTTCTTGGGATTCGCCACTATTAAAAAGCCTTGAAAAAAAAGGTCATATACAATTTTTTTTCATCTTTAAAATATCACCAAAAAACAAGTGTGGCTCTGCCTTTAAGAGTTAAAGAGGTTCCTTACCTTACCTGCTCTTCAGAGGCGTCATCTCTATACCTTTTAGGGTAAAATTTCTCTATGACTTGTTTTAGGGTTTGGTTTGCTTTGCACTGATTAGTAACATGGCCTGCTGGGGTTGAAAAAGGTCTTTCAAAATCTCCAATCTCCACCTAATTGGAAATCCAAAAAAAGAGAAAACAAAGGATAAGTTTTTTTTAAAAAAAAAATCAGTTTTATTCTTTCTAAGCATTCTTTATAATATATAATTACATATCCTATCTAATAATAGACAACAAAGATGGCGGCTAATTTGCATACTGCAGGCAGGGCGGGACAGCGCAGCTGCCAGCGCAAGAGCCGCCAACCAGGACCCGTGTGCGACCCCAGAAGCTGCCTGCCTGCCGCCCGTCGGGCTGCAGGCTGGCCCCAGAAGCCCCAGAAGCCGGTGATCGGGGGGGAGATGGGGGTCCCCTGCCCAGGCCTGACGCCTCGGCCAGAGGTGTCAGGCCTGGGCCGGGGGGGTGGCGGGGGGGGGCCAAGCCCGCAATTGGTGTGAACTACAGAGGAAACACCTTTTCTGACCACTCATTGGCTAAGCTCCCTGTATGCCACTGGTAATATTCTTAGTAACTTGGGTAATAAGAATCCAAAAAGGTGATCTAGGGTTTTTCACTACACTCCTGGCGAAAAAACGAAGGTCCGCTGCTGGAGGGCTAAGAAATGTCATATCCTGCTCTAGCCGTGGCTCAGTGGATAATGCCTTGGCCTGCCGATGGCAGGGTCTGGGTTCAATTCTGACCAAGGGCATGTACCTAGGTTGCAGGCTCCTCCCTGGCCCGGTCCCAGGTCATGGCTCATGCAGGAGGCAACCAATCAAAGTGTTCCTTTCACTTTGATGTTTCTCTCTGTCTTTCCCTTTTTCTTCCACATTCTCTAAAAATCAATGGAAACATATCCCCAGGTGAGAATAAAAAAAAAATAATAAAGAAATTATTATTATATGAAAGACACATCTTGAAAATGCCTAAAGAAAGTTGTCATTTTTTCATGGTGAAGGGACTGGAGTCCGTGTTGATGAAAAAACCTTGCTGGCTGCGGTGACTGGCAATGGCTGCAGCAGCGGGGTAATGGGGCTGGTGTCCTCCCCTGATCAGCCCGGTCACCTCCTACAAAGGGAGGCCAGACTGCGGCTTAGGCCCACTCCCCGAGGGGAGCAGGGAGCGGGCCTAAGCCATCACTAGGACATTCCCTGAGGGCTCCCAGTATGTGAGAAGGGGCAGGCTGGGCTGAGGGACACCCCCCCCCCCCCCCAGTGCACGAAATTTCGTGCACCGGGGCCCCTAGTAATTATATAATAACATATTAATTACACCATGATATTATAAATCTACTTGTCATGAATTGTTGTGGATTATGGGAATTC